TTCGATAATAACACTGCGACGTTCGAGTCCTCAATTTTTAGGTTTCACTTCCGGAACGTTAGAAGGGAACAAAATATACAGTAATCCTATCATCAAACGGTAAATAAACAGGAATTAGCTCATTTCAAACCTTTTTAGGTCACATAAATTCACATGTAGTCATACATGTTCGGGATAGAAAGCTACACAGTCCCTCTTTAAATTTCGGGCAATCTAGTTTGACTTTTCTAAAGAGTCCCCATATATTTTCTCTACTTATACCATGTCTCGTTAGAGATATTCTTGCTCTTTATCTTAAATCATTTACATGTAATGCATGAATACCATTGCAATCAAAGCAGAGATAGAATCAATTGTCTCGTATATTCTACATTAAAAGAGGACTCTAATTGTCTTTAACCACCTTCTCGAGCTTCTTGTGGACAAAGCTATTTACATCTAAAATGCATGCATAGTCTTGCTTATTTTGTAGTGCCATTGGCCCGCAAGAATAAAGTTAAACTCGAAAGAGTAACAACCTCGGAATTTCATGCCTTATATAGCAAAGTCAAATTCATCGCTAGTTTATGATTAACAGATACAGATGATCACTTCAGCTCACTTATATTCCATCCAACTAATCCTTCGTTACTTCAGCTATGTTTCTTGGCTTTTTCAGCATATGCATTCATAGCTCTATCTTAGTAATAGTATTGCAAGTTGGCGGGTCGACTTCTTTAGTAAACGAGGACGAAGAATGCTAGACAAGACTGAGATTGATTTCAAATTCATTCATTTACGAACCGAAGCTGAGCAAAATATGATTTTGTTTAAATGAATGCGTTGCATTTCGAGTGGTATCAAGTGCCGGCAGAAGCTTACGTGGTTACTGGGCGCTGAAACTAAGGCCCTGAAGGAAATGGTGAGATAGGACCAGAACGGTTTCTTTTTTGACCGCTGCAGAAACGTTTAATTATCGAAAAGATGGGTCATGGCATAACTAAATATGTATGATACTGCATTATTTAAAAGAGCACATGAAGAAATGGACACAGACCTAAAGTGAAGGCGTCCGCAGATCTGTACAATGCGAAAAGTCCAATTACATCCATCAGTAGGTTGTACAAATAAGCCGGTCTGATAAGGCACATAAGCTCAAAGATAACATTGTTTGGGAGACTTTCATTTCGCATGAAAGTGTACGAAGAGATTCGAAGGTCGATCTCACCAGAAGAAGACTGCTCATTTGTGTTGTCCTGCAGCCGTTTGACTTTGATTCGACGTTCAGGTTGACGAAGTCCACGAGACATCCTCCCTCGTTTTGGGTGAAAACACGCTGTGCTTTTGTCCATAAAATGTTGGACATCATCAGAGCTGGAACTCATACTTGTAGATCCGACTAGAAAAGGCGCTCCAAACATGACGACTGGAAATAGACATGTACTAGGTGCCCAACTACCTCGCTGATACTCAACAAGGCCGGGTAAAGGTGGTTCAGCTCACTCCCATTTTAAGTGAGTGTTTAGTGAAGAGATTCGAAAGATGATACCACCATAAGATGACGACGGAATCCTCTCGGACATCTATCCATTGTTTTTACTGGGACATTCTTGTTCAGGCTCTTTCTGAGGCAATCTTATTCGATCCTGGTGAAAACGTGTTAAGCCTTCGTCTGTCGTTAAAGCAGGCTAAAAATTCAAGAAAACTCACCTGATTATCCCTACATTCTGTACTTGAACCCTAACTGTGTGAGAATTGATAGGGTATAAAGTGATTCGCTTGGTCAAGTTATATGTCAAACTCGAGGCATGTGCATGCGCCTATTTGTGTGGGTTTATGTGCCATCATGTGCTTGCATATATACGAAAATAATAGTGAGATCTCAAAATAATTAAAAGAAAATGTGACATTCTCGGTCATCAAGACCTAATTACTACCGCCACTTCTTTTTATTTTAACCATCACTCAAATCACATAATATCGAATACATATCTGGTTAAGATGTGTTGCTTTCTGTTTTCGTATGAGGGGAGTGAACTAAGATGTATATAAAAGCCGGAGTAATTAAAACAATGACAAGATAATACTAAGTTGCCTTCTTTTTGGGCAACCCAACGCCCTCTCTATACTTAAATCTCACTAATAAGTAGTAGTAAGTAGTTCACCCATATTCCTGATATCGAATGTGCTGCCCAGTCGGATGATTTCATTAGCCTTTAAATTTGCGCTCAGATGCAGAAATACAATGATCAGTAAAACGACAAGTTTGAGATCCTAAACCGAATTGAAGACCAAGATAGAGTGGTCCTCTATATGGTCGTAGTGTCCTTTAGCTTAATTGTATTGGTATGGCCATGTTTTCGCAACTTGGTCGGAGCGACAGGGAGACCTTGTGAAGCGTACCTAGCTGTGCATCCTCTGCCATAGTATTCATTGTTTCCAGCATCAAACCATTTACCTGATACGTTCACAAATGTTGCGCGGGCATCGTCCGTGAGAGATGTCATCGTTGGCACAGTTACAAATTATCAGTGACAAATGAAGGTATTTTTCCGTTCAAGTATTCTGGTAATACTCCTCGCCTCTATTTTTCGTCTTACCTTTAATGGGTTTAGTTAAATGCAAGCATTTTCACCGCCGGTTCAGATCCCATTTGGAGGGCTTCTGACTTCCATTGAGCTCCCATTTCTCCCGCAAATGAATTGGTCATTGCAACACATTAAAATCGCTGACTGGCCATTTGAAACCTGGTTGCCTAACAGCCTTTATTCCGTCCCTGTTTACATCAGTATCGAAGATTTAGGGCTGGTGGTGCCCATGCTCAAGCCTCTTTCTCTCCATAGACTTCAGACTCATGACCCAGTTATCATCTTCTAATTCCCACCCGGAAAAGAGCACAAATGAATGTACCAAGCAAGCCCTAGGCCTAAGCTCAATAGATCGAATAATTTCTCAGCTCCAGGCAGTTAAACATCAGAATTCCCACATAAGTCTACCGAGGTAACATGACGAAAAATGAACAGGGGCTAGGTGACTATTGAAAATGGTTAACGGTAAGTGCACTACGAGCAGCTTCCAAGGCTTGTGGCACTCGATAGAAACAGTCCAAAGCATAAAAATAGTAACTCTCCAACAATCCCCAAAGAGATAACGTTGATTTAATAATAAATAACACGATGAAGGATACAAGGTGATGTAGAAGATAGAACAAGAGAGGCGTGAAAATGTCAGTGTCCAGACAGGGACCTGGAGGATCGCCGGCGGTTGTACCCGACACTCGAACCAAAGCCATATTTGTTAAAGCCCCCGTTCCGGCCTTCAGGAGATCTACTGTTATTGCCACGCCGTTTCCCCACACTGCCCATTTCGACAGCTCTTCTATTTTTTCCACGATCAGGAGCGCAGGAAGAATTTGCTCGAGATCCATTTTCTATAGAGCAGGAGCGACGACGCGATTCGTCACGGCGTTTGTGGTGATCATTAGATCTAAACATTCTTTAGACGTTATGGAAGCAAAAGTTACCTTGAGCGGGATTTGCCTCGGTGATCAAATTCGTTACCGCCCTTTCTGGAATCCCCATAACGATCCCTACCTCGCATCTCGGCAGGAGCTGAAAATGATTGGCGGCACAATCAGAGCAAAAGTCACAACCCAAACCGGACCACAAGCACGAATAACTTACTTTTTCTATGTCCACGTGTAAACTCTACTTCGATGTCCCGCCCCATGAAACGCGTGTGATCGAGGGCCTCGTGGGCATCTTCGGCGTCCCTCTGATCCTCGAACGTGCACGAGCAAAAGCTCAAAGTTAAGGTAATAAAGGCAGCTTAAAGACCCTTAAGACCCTGAACTCTGGACTCACCCCGACTACAGATGAGCGAGTAGACCAATCTGTGGAGACGGATACTCGGGAGCACCCTGAACCAGTGTCAGACCTAGGCAAATAATTGAAATTGGAATAATCGATTGACTCGAAGAAATTGTACTGAATTGTGCGCGCTAGGCTAGCTTGATGTGGCCGGCTATTGAATTGATTGAATTGATTGAATTGGGGTGCACGGGTAGAATTGAAAATTGGAGGTTGAATCGGTACTTGTGTCATTGTGCCAACTAGGAGAAAGATGGCAGCAAAAGAGGGGAGCATTAGATCTGGTCTACTAAGACAGATCAATAAACCTATCCCAACAAATCTGTTGACAATTACCGAAAAGGATATTCAACAAAAGCATAGCCCTTCATGCGACCGGAAAAATAATCCAGAGGAATGGTGACATCGGCAATACGACCATAGCGACCAAAGAGACGTCGGAGATCTTCATGTCTATCAAAATAAGAACGCTGAAAAAAAGCCTACCTGCATGAATCAGGGAGATGCCTGACGTGAAGAGATATACCACGGGGCATTGTGTAGGAAGACCAGGTCCAAGAGGGCAGTCAAGAGGGTAGTCAAAAGGGCCGAAATAGTATGCGGTAAAACGAAAAGTACGATGAATACATCAATATTAATATATTGTACTAAATAGCTTCATTAAAATAACCTAACTCATATTTTTTTATGAATTTGAGAGTAAAGTAAATAAGTAATTTTATTGGCTTAATTTTATTTTTGCAAAGAACGGCTACAAGAATTGATGCTAATATCAAACTGCCGCAAAATATTGTTAAAGGAACCTTCATTTCGTATGAAAGTGCATGAAGAAGAGATTCGTTGGTCGATCTCACCAGATGAGGACGG